CTATCCTGGCTTCTCTTCATTGGCTTCCTGTTAAATCCAGAATAGAATTTAAAATCCTCCTTCTCACATATAAAGCCTTAAATGGCCAAGCTCCATCTGATATCAGAGATCTGATTGTTCCTTATGTTCCTAACAGAGCACTTCGCTCTCAATCTGCAGGTTTACTAGTGATTCCTAGAATTTCTAAAAGTAGAATGGGAGGCAGATCTTTTAGTTCTCAGGCTCCTCTCCTGTGGAACCAACTACCAGTTTTAGTCCGTGAGGCAGACACCCTGTCGGTACCGTCTAGGGATTGATTTAAGGTCAAGTTAGACGTTTCGGGCGTTTTTCTCCTTCTTTGTTATTTTGTCCATCTGTGCAATAAATCAGGATCACTCAGCATGCTACTCTTACGCTGTGCTTGATGGTTACTGCAATCTTCTCAGGTTTGAAAGTCTATCCTCTGCTTCCTCCAACTAATGCTTTGTTCTGTTTGGACATGGAAGTCAGATAATCTAATTTCCCAGTCAGAAAACCTAGAAAAACAACAAATAAAGCTGGAATTCATACTAAGAAAGGTAGACCTCTGAACAGCCACAGTTTAGTGTCCAACAAACAATGTTTCATGTATTTACTTATTTATTACTAAGTTATATTCTTTGAACTCATTAAAATAAGGTAAAGTGCATTGTTACAACATTTACAACTAATAGAAAGCTATTTCCTTCAACACAGGGTTAGTTTATTTATATGAAACAATTCAGTGTAAAGACAATTCGAAATGTTTTAAACCTATTTTACACAATAAAATAAGAGAAAATATAAAAGCAGAATAAAAGGAAATGAAGATCAAATAAATGAAATAGACCCCAAATGTTAACTTTGGCTTTAAAAAACTCAAACTTTCAGCACTTTTACAGTAGTATGGGACTTTGTTCCAGATCAGTGGAGCATAGAAGCTAAATGCCGTTTCTCCGTGTTTGGTTCTAGTTCTGGGTGGACAGAGTAGACTTTAGGAGGTTGATCCACTGACAACAAATGATTTGTAGATTAGAGGCAGAAGGATTTTAAAGTCTATTCTCTGAACTATAGGGAGCCAATGGAAGGACATGAGAACTGGGCTGATCTACTTTCATAGTTCTAGGTTAGGGACACCATGGTCAGTGTATTTAATGAATGGAACTAAATGTGTATATAGAGTTGATTTTATATGAACAACAGAAACAATAATCACAATATTCCAAATGTCTTTATAGTTTTAAATGTCTTTATAGTTTTAAATGTCTTTATAGCTTTAAATGTTTTTTAAATTAAAAAACTTATTCTTATAAATTTTCTCTTATGGTTGGAATCAGGTGACAGCTTAGAAAAGGATTTGTTTGTTTTAAGAAATAAAACTGTATATTAATTATCGACGGTTTTATTCGCCATATACAGCGGGGAACTTTAATCAGGATGAAACGCTGCGGTGAGCTTTAAGAGCTAAATCAATTCAAAGGGACAAAGTTCAGATAAAGAAGGGCAGAGTAGGTGTGAGTTATGCATGTTGGGGTGTTAAAAGGTGCTAAGAGGACTTCTTCTTGGAAGAGTCTTATAGACGCACCCTGTCTGAGCAATTAAGGAGTGTTTGAGCTTTTTAACTTGGCAAAGATTTAGTCCCTGGACTTTTCTACAGATATAAGAAAGTAACTTGGTTTCTCCGCCACATGTTTCTCCCTGCTGTAGATCTCCTTATATGCACCCTCCTGTCGCTGTCACTAATCACACAATAGGATTCATCAGTAACTGGGCCCTTTTTATCCGCTGTTGGAACAGAAATGCTTGCTCTATCTTAAGGGTGGGGATGGTTAACTCATCTAATGCTATTATCACAACATCAGAGAGCAGAATGGAAGGTCAGGAGAGGTCACATTCTAGACAGGGGATCAAAAGTTGCACAAACTACTGCAATGTTTTTTACATTATTGCTCAGTATCTTTGGGAATGGATATGCTCCCCCCATGTGGCCAAAGTTATTGATTATAACTCACTAATATTTCTGTATTTCTCTCCTTCATATGGAAACACATTTAGTGTTTTCTCTGAGCTTTACGTCAGCCAGTTCATACTCGTCAGAGAGAGGAACACTTACGCTGGTTTTAAGTGTAGCTGACCTGCCGGCTATATTCAGAAGCAAATTGGATTTGCATTGAGCTTGACCTGGAACCAAGCCACAGGTTGCCTACTTGGAAAGTTTAGCAGGTCATTGACCCCAGAAGTTAGGTGAGAAAGACTGTTTTGCTCACTCACCAAGGCATGTGAGGAACCTACTGTAAAAAAAAACAAACGATTTCCTATCTGGATGAACCGGAAACTATAATAATAAAGAGATCTGCCTTTGTGTGAACAAAGGAAAAGTGAATGACCTGCTGAAATGGACAAATATCTTTCAAAGTAAATAAATATTTGCGCTCTATTGCAAAAATGAAGGTTTTTGCAGGACAGGTTTTCCACTCTGCTCCCATGCATCTATATATCTGCACAGAACTCACTCTGGCAGCACAGACACTAAAAAGCTCACCTACACTAGTTACACCCCATATGTTTCCCTTCTCTCTTTGTCTCATTACTTTCTAAGATTTCATAGATATATTCCAGGTATGATGTCATTTCTGTGTAAGCAGAGAGTTTATTTATCCCACCTCATCAAATACTTCCATGCATGTTGGTATCTTTCTATCAGGTCAGAATTGGGTTTTAACTTATTTAAATGATCCTACAGAGAAAAATTCAGATTAATATTTTAAGAAACTTGTTCTGTGCATGATTAATGAAGTATCGTATATATATATATATATATATATATATATATATATATATATATGTTTATGCTCTAAAAACATTCTAAATGACTTCGTTTCGAGTAAATTCTGGATGCTACCCACTCAGGACACTTGGAATACATTGGACGAGCAGTATGGAGGAATATTGACACGTTTTTTGTGGACTTTTATGGACCTTTCTGCCTCGGGCGCCATAGACCTCCATTATTTGAATGTCAGCAGACAGCAAGAAGCCTCCCAGATTTCCAGATGCATTTGAGATATCAAAAAAGTACTCCAGAGTGTTGTTCAGCATGGGGGTGAGTAGAAAATGAAGGCTAATCATGTTTTGGGTGTACTATTCCTTTAAGGTCAAAGTTCTCATTCATGACAGTGGAACATAAAGGTTCTTTACTTCTTATTTTATTTAAAGAGGATTTAATGAGACATCAGTGTTTTATTTCTCATAACCTTGTCTGTGATGTTGAATATTTATAGTGATAAATGGTATGAATTATGTGTCACAGTAGGAGGCAAGTGTTCTGCTCTATGACGAAAAAATGTTCTTAGAGTCTAATATGTAATATATAATATCTGAAATTCATGACTGAGCCTTTAAAACAAAATATTTTTTGACAATAAAAAAGTTCATTAATTACAACTTTTTTTATTTCATTCATTTTTTATTTTGTGGTATTTTTCTGTAATAAAATTTGCTAAAAAACAAATGAATTAGTACATTATATGGAGGACCAATATGGAGGACCAACTCTGCCATATTTATAATCAAATACAGAAATAAATAAATGCTCAATAAATAAATAAGCATACAATTAATTTCCCCCCAAAATACAATAAACAAATAAATGATAGGTAGAAATTAAATTATACAGTGAGACTAGCGTTGAAGAAATAAATAGGGTAAAAAAAATACAAAGGAAGAATAAAACAGATAAAAATATAATCATATGCACATAAATAAAAACTTAAAAAAATAAGTAATAAATAAATAAAATTGAAGATTATAATGGACAATAAATAAATAAGTTGATTATTACAAATGTGAATAAATAAAAATCTAATTAAAAGAGATACGGTGGAATCCGCTTATAGTGATCACGTTGGTCCAGAGTCAATTTGAACACCAATTGATTACTAAAACCGAATTTACCGTTATTTCACTTATTTTTTATGCAGATTATCATCTAAATGCCATTTGTGTGGTTTTTAAATGAGAAAAATGAAATGACACTGATGGCTTCCGCATTTACTGAATTTTATTCCAGTACCATTCAAGTTTAATGACGGTATACTGCACTGTGCGCAGTTTAACATGTCTGAAAATAAAGTTTGAAACAAACGGTTTCATAGATCAACAACATAGAAAAAGCTAGCCTACGTCCGTTCTGTGTTGCGGATCTGCTGCGCCGCATTAAGAAATCACTTCATATTTATCTATGGTTCCCTGGATCAGAGCGTCCAACACAGAGTTCACTTCTTTTTCAAAACGATGTTAATGCTTGTTGGATTTTAAACCAACATGCAGGAGATCAGTCTTTAAAATGCAAACTGGATTCCTCATATCAGCTCTGGAAGAGACAACAGTCTCCTCTTCTTCATCCTCCTCCTCTTCCTCGCTGCTTGCAGCCCTGGTATCCCCACCAAAGCGCTCTTTTACCTCCGCAATGATGTCCTCATCCGTCATGGGCTCTGACGCCGGAGTGCTGTCATCACTTTCGATCCACTTATTAATTATTTTTGCACATGTTTACATTGGCAAATGGCCAAAAATGAAAACTATAAGTGGATTTCTTGATTAATATAAACAAAATATTTAAACAGCATAGAAACGATTCTGTCCTAAGCCTTTTGAAAACTATAAGCGGTTGGTTACTATATCCGTGACCACTATAAGTGGATTATTTGTTTATTGTATTTTGGGGGGGAATTAATTGTATGCTTATTTATTTATTGAGCATTTATTTATTTCTGTATTTATTTTAAATATGGCAGAGTTGGTCCTCCATATATTTATGCACTTCTGATGGTCATAAACTAAATATGTCATCAAAGAAGGCACGGCAGTGTGGCTTTAACTCCTAGCCCCGCCCATAAACTCACTCTGGACCAATTAAAAAGCACTACGAGCCCGTGGACAGAGCTCCAGCCAATCAGCGCGCACTACTGCTGGGATTAATGTTTGGGTTTGTGTGTCCGCCGATCAGTCAGCGGTGTGTGTGTGCGTGTGTGCGTGTGTGTGTGAGTGAATGTGAGAGAGTTTGGTTATTATTTGATCACATTTCAGAGAACATCTCTGAGTTTAAACTATAGTAGAGTAACGGGAACCTTCCAGAGGAGAACATGTTCACCTAACGTGACGCTACGAACTCTGATGAAGCGGGAAAGAAGCCGTTTGCTGCGTAGAGCTCATGAAAACAAGACGCATCTACGCAGTTTAACATCTTTATCGACACCGAGCGGATAAGCTGAAGTTCGGCTTTATTTTAAGAAAACAGCGCAAGCTGTAGATGTTTCAGTCAAATATGCTCTGTGTAGGTGGCTGGGTTAACAGCTAATGAACTGCTAACCGTCATTTAAATAACATTAAAGTAGCTAATTAGTGGTGATTAGCTGCTTGGTGTAAAATGCTGAAGACTCTGACCAAAGAGCTGAGGAGACATTCCCTCAATGAGGTCCATCCCTTCCAGCTGAAGGTAAGATGGAAAAAAACAACATCTGAGAGACAGATTAGTGGCTTTAGTCACATTAAAGTCTTTATAATCGCTCCAGTTAGGGGTAATAACTAGTTAATTATTATTTCCCTCTTTCTTTCTTTTTATTTCCATCTCTTTAAAGTTTAACTTTATGATGTTGAATCTGTAGCTTCCATTAGAACCCATTCATTTCCATGTTTGAAGGCATTGTTAACTTTTTCCCCAGATGTGGATAATAATGTGTGTGAGTGTGTGTGTGTGTGTGTGTGTGTGCTTGTGTCAGTGTGAGTGTGGGAGGACTGGAAAATAACAAACAGTAAAAACCAGACTACTGTGAGCAGCCATGATCATCCTAACATCTCCCATTTTTCACAGATGAACCCAGGAAAGCGCCTCCTTTGTCGCTGCCAGCTCAGTTTGCATAATGACCCTTTTTCATGTAGGGGACGGGTGAATGGTGTCCTGCATGGGTCACTAACTTCCTCCATCTATACTATTATGTATTAACTGACTGTATGTTTGTCGCATGGCTGCCATTTTGTGCCAAATTAGTCTTGTTGAAGCGTCCAGCCGAGGTTAAAGATGAAACCTGCCATCATGTCTGCATATGTTCATGTTTCCCTAAACATTAATAGAATCCTTTTCACTGGATGATGTGAAGCTTGAAGTTCGCTGATGCAGATCGTCGTGACAACAACTTCCCATTTTGTCAACAAGTTGATACGCTGGGTTATTAACAAGGTGTTTCCTGTGAGAAACCAGCAAAAGTCCAAACCAAATCCAAACAAGATTGCGCTGATGTGGGTTGTTTACAGGGAAAGAAAATATCGTATAATCCCTTCATTTGAGGGATCGATTGGATCGGCGGGCCGATTTAGCGGCTGATAGTCAGATTTGAAGCCGATCTTTTCCAAAGACCTTATCTACCTGCAAAGGTCAGAAAATCAATGATTTATAACTGAAAGCGGTTATTTCAGAAGTTTTTATTGTTTCAAAGGTACTGATTAATGCATTTCAGTTAGATAGGATATTTCAGAGGTTTAACTAGTTTCGGTTATTTAAAAAAAAAAATGATGTTGATGAAAATTGGAATCAGCATTTCTGGCCTTTTAAAGATCAGGAATCGTTGATCGTCCAGAAACCGGGAATCGGTGCGCTCCTATTTATTTCCTGTTAGGTTCTAATCTACAACAAACTATTGAAGCTGGAACTCGTTTCCCCTTGTTTTTACGTTATTGTCATTAAAAAAATGATTTTTTTTATAGGTAATAAACCAATAGAAAAAGTTAGATCAAGGTTTTTCTCAATAAATGATGCTTTAATCAACATTGATAAATCCTAAAATGACAAGCTAGATGGGAATAGACTTTACATGCATCCAGAAACCTTTAATCCTGCAACACGAGTCTTTTCAGCTCTGGGTCTCATGCAGTCTGGAAAAGTAGTTATGTTTTTATGTAGGGAGGGGGACAGAGCAGGGTTTTATTTCTAGCCTATAGAAATGGGAGTCCTTCAGAAGTCTCTGTGGTACTTGATCTGCATACCATTCCTGATTAAAGAGTAAGTGCTATGCATATGCTTAAAGAGCAGTAAATTATTAAACTAATTCTTCCCTGATCGTGTTCACATGTGGTGTTTATTTTATTGGACAGAGGCTGATATTTTCTCCTAGCGGAGGTTTCAGCTATAATGTGCTGCTCCTATAGGAGGTTAAACATGAGAAGGTTGTTTGTTTGTCCAATAAGAATCGTTTTGACTAAGTTATGAGACATCATAGTTTTTGATCATTATTCATTTGTTTGTCTGAAAATTGAACCGACTGAAAAGTGGGGCGGATATTTTCTTTTTTTGTTGGAAAGCGCGCAGCTACACCAGAGGATTTTCCTTTATTATTTTTTTTGTTTAATTTTTTATTTGTTGCATTAAAATCTAATCTGAACAGACAGAGGGGCCTCTAACACACTTAAAAAATGCCTTTCTTTGGTTCTGGTGTTTAAAAAACAACAACAAATAAAGCTAGCCTCTGGTTTGGATCAGTTATTTCTTTATGTCTCAAGTTTAAGTAGGAAAAAAACTGCCGCTGGAAGAGGTTTGTGTACGCCATTAAAAACAGTTTGTGTTTCTTTATTTTTTTGTCGTGGAACGCTTCTTAACCCAAAAATAACGGCTGACTTATTGTATCATTGATGGTCGATCTGAATCCCAAAAGTTTCAAGTCATGATAAAAAGGCGACGTCAGATGCTGGTTGGTTTTTATTAGGTAGGGGGATTCACAACATGTTTTAATAACTATATCTTAAATGTCAAAGATAACATGATTATCTTTGGTTTATTTTAGTATATGAGCTCTATTTCCCTTTTATCACTACTACCAACTCAATTTACTAATGGTCCGTTTGTTGTTTTTGACTTGATCCATAACTATTTTTAGTTCCTACCTGCTTGTGGTTTCAACCGTGGAAAGGCAACATCAGAGCATCGCTGCTCACTGATTGGTTATGTAGCGGTGTCTATATTTAAATCTTATTTAAATAGCTTATGTCTTCAACTTTTACCTATTTTTACACTGGGCTTATTATATATAAAAGCATTATCATAGCAAGGAAGCAGTGGGTAGCATTAGCTTACTTTCACATGTGCTGTAGCTTGTATTGTTCCATTTGATACCACATGGCTTTCCTGTATCTGCTGGTCTTAACCAGTGTGCTTCCTCTAGCTGCCCACAGGCTTCTCCCCGCTTCTCCCCGGCCATAAACCGAGTAGCAGGTTCCCCGTTGTTGGGTTTTGTCACCACAGATTATGTTGCTTTAGTTTTTTTGTGAGTGTGTGGTTACCTTGCTGTCAACAATACCACCCATATTAAGATAATACTCCAAATGAGATGGAAAAAGAAAACAAAACTAGTTTTATAGACCAGGCCCAACATTAATCAAGTAGTACTGATTGAAATGTATGTTGCAAGTAATTTGACTCCTAAAATCTAAATGTTACAGAAAAGTTTTCCCATGTCATGATTTTTTTGCTAAACCTTAAAGCGTTGATGAAGAGAGAGCTGGGTGAAAAGGCAAAGCTCTTGATTTACAGGTTCTTCTATGTTGCTACCATCACCTCTGCCATGAAATCTAGATTCTGACCGAAAGATTAAGATCCCGGATACAATTGGCTGAAATGACGTTCCTCTGCAGGGTTGTAGGACAGTCCCTTAGAGATAGGGTGGGAAGCTCGGCCATTCGGGAGAGGCTCGGAATCGAGCCGCTTGTCTTCCACATCGAGAGGAGTCAGCTAGGTGGCTTAGACATCTTTTTTATCCCTGGAGGTGTTCCAGGCACATCCCACCATAAGTAGGCCCTTGGCATGACCAAGGACCTCAGGCTTCTCCCAGTAGTGCTGGAGGAGGTGTCTGGGTGGAGGGAAGTCTGGGAGTCTCTCCTGAGACTCCTGTGACCCAGTCGCGGATGAAGCAGAAGACATGACTAGTATGCATACCTTTAAACTAATTAGCATGTAACAGTTGGTGTTTCTGAGGCAACTTCCCTTACAGACTCCACTTTTCTGAAGATATTTAAAGTCGTAGGGAAGGGGCCATTCCAACCGTTACATTTCCAAATTCTCCCGAGTGTTGCACGACTTTACACAAGTGAATAAAGTGAATGTGATTGGTCGTTTATCAAGAGGGCGGGGTTTTTGTGGCGTAACGTTAGCAAGTAAGTTTGGTAGTGGACTGTGTCTTGGAAGCATCTTGCTAACCAGTTAGCAACTTAGTGCTAGCAGGTTCCCAATGGGAAATTTCATTGGGACTAAGTAGCACTAAATTGGTGACTTAGAAACGACGCTGTCAAGGAACGCTATGGACAGCAGAAACATACAAGAGGAGGAGAGTTTAGTGTCGGAGGTCGTGGATGAGTCTCCTCCGTCATCCATTTTTTATTTAGAGGAGGAAAGCGGGGACGAAGATGTTGTGGAAGAGGACGCCAGGGCGGCAGAAGCTTGGTTTGGTGTAGAAGGCTTCCAGCCGTACATGTTTGAGCCCTTGCCTCGCAACGCTGCCAGTTCTGTTAGCTCTACGCCTGCCGAAGACACAGACGTCCGTCCCCGTGAACACTGGGACGCAACTCAATGGGAAAGGAAAGGATTCTGATTTCAACCGTTGCGTATATTAGCTGCGACACATGAATCAAGATGCTATGACCGAAAAAATTAGATTTACAGATGACCGTTGATATATGATTGGCCGAATTTAGATTTTCAGGCTGACGTAGAACTAACTGGCCTGCAGAAGATAACGGAAAAACACAGATTTTAAGAAAGGATTTTTTTTTTAAATAGAAATTTTCAAAATTTTGGGACAATATCATCTTATAAAGATAACATTTACATACATTTTTAAGCCAGAATGATTTGACATTCAAATATGACTTCCCTACGACTTTAGGCAGTGTTAAGGGTATGCCGCCTTACACCGACAGACTGAGAGCCATAGCAGCCTATATAGTCTAGCCTTCAGCTTATTTACAGTCGTAAAGGTTGAAAAAACCTTTATGAAACTCCATGTTTGGTACATCATAAACCGAGGAAAAGGCAAAATTTTTTGTCAATAAAAAGACAACAAAACATGGCGGGGTAGGGATGTCCCGTCACAACTTTTGCATTTCTGATACAATGGCTATGTTACACATTTTAGAAATCAGCAATGCTGATATTGAGCTGATACACCATCAGCATGAATCATACAGACTTGTATTACTTATTGTGTAGTGTTACAAGTTTAAAAGGTTTTATCAAGTGATATTACTCAAGCAGAGAGCAATGGTCAACATCAAGAGGTATGAGAAAGAATTTACCTATTGGACGAGATAAATTTAAGACAGAAGCGTTGTGTTTTTATCAGCATGCCAATATAAGTGTTGTGAGATTGGTTTCTGTTCTATGTCTACAGTATTGGTAGTTTGGCTTCCTGACCACTGGGGGAGCTCTAGGAAACTAGAGTGACATAAGGAATG